TAAATATATATAAATATATAATTATACCATTTACTTCTATTTTATTATAATAATCATTTTTTCAATTAGAAAGTCCTTAGTTTATATAATTTAAAGAAAAATCATAATAGAAAAATTTTAGATATCAAATATATAAAAATTGCAGAGATTTTATATTCGTAAAAATATAATGAAAAAAGTATAGAAAGATTACCAAGAAATCAAATTAATAAAAATTTAGCTCCTCCAAAAAATTTCTAAGATCGTAATTTTTATTAGAGAATTCATATTTATAATAATATAGTTAGTATATAATAAATCATAATTAATATAATAAATTTTCCAAGACCATTTATATATAATTAATTTCGAAATTCTAAAATTTATTTAATATCTTATAATCGTTATAATAATATAGTTAGAATCATAATAATTCTTTTTAATATAAAACCAGAAATTCTTCTTCTATTATTCAGGAAACGAGCAAGGAATCGATCGCCGTCGTCGAGTGAGACAGATCCATTTCTCCATTCCCCATCACACCCACCCCAGCAGCTCCTCGAATCCTTGAATAGCGAGTAATGAAATTTTGATTATTGAGCCCCGTGGTGCTGCACGACCCTTCTTGATTGCTGACCAAATGGTCCGAAAAATTAGGGTTCAGGGTCTGCGCGCTCATCGAGAAACACCTGGAACTCGTGGATGTCGTGCTCGCCTTGTGTTTGGATTTGCGGTCTCCAAGCTTCGGTTTGGCTCGGGGTTTCGGAAAGCGTGTGCCTTCGGGTTTGGGACATCGAAGAGTTCCTGTTCTACCTTGCAGAAAAACTACCTTTTCCACAGGCCAGAAACAACGGGCGAGTACTTCAGTCACCGTTTGCAATGAAAAAGCCGGCGACAGTAACTTGACTCACAGACTAGGGGCCAGGACAAGCAATCGGAGTCATTCAGAGGTTCGAACAGACAGCGAAAACGTTTATTGCAAAGCCTACCCCAATAAAGCCGACAAGCTTATTACTGACATCAACCCATAATCTAGGACAACATCATCGAAAAGTTGCCACTGCTCATCCGCAAATGCAAGGCAAAACCTAAATCAGGAGGTTCAATGCTCAGCCATTTCCTGATATGTTTAGCGTAGGTCTCAGCCTCATTCATCTCAAAGCCGCTATACTTGCAGCGCATCTTGTCGAGGTATGCCACTTCTGCTGTCTGCCTGAGCCATTGCCGTCGACAGAGCTACCAGAACCACTGAGGATAAAAAAAAAGTCTATGGTCCACAGAACCAGGATGCAAACATAATCCTGCCACCCTCATTCATTAAGACGTTCAGAAACCCCAAGGTCTGAATAGATCACAAGTCGGAATGGACCCTAAGCCCCTAACCCCTTCTTCACCCTAAATTGCCGCTGACCTGTTGCCTGAAGACTGGATTAGGTTTTAACTTTGTAGCTACCTTGTCAGGGAGCTGAACACTACAGTTTAAGGCTAGGTTGGTATACCCCCAACCAAGCCACACCCTACAGCACTACAGCCCGAACCGAACTGCCCGAACATCTTGTGAAAAATACAGCTTGGGCACGAAGCACCCAGGCCGGTGTCAAATCGAGCCATCTTCTTTGCCTGCATAGTTTCGGGCTTGTGAGTTCTGGCTGGCGTAGGACTCTGAGGCTTCTGGGTATAGGCTAGTAGTCTACGATCTAGCCTGGCACAAAGATCCATGGATTCTAGGGCCGCGGTATAGATGATTTGTGAACAGGCCTCTGCATCAGCAAGCTTGTGCCAGGCCATCTTGCCTTTGCCAACCTTTCTCTGTGCAGCTGCTTCAGGCCCGAGCATGAGAAAAACTTAAAACAGCAACAGAAACGTGTATATATATATATATGTATATGCCCGTATATATATATATATATGTACAGTATAGAACATATGCGCACACACCTCTAAACCCAGAAGGCTGGATGTCATGGCCGAATGTATACAGAGGATTGACAGACTCTAGGCTCGGGGTCCCATACCAAAAGTCCCCAACCTGGCTTTCTCTATTGGCTCTCAGTCGGCTCGCCACTGCACACTGTGTGCTACAGTAAGGCTTTGGGTTTAGGGGTTAGGGTTCAGGGTTTAGGGCTTAGGGCTTAGGGTTTAGGGTGCTACAGTACAGCTTTGGGTTTAGGGGTTATTAGCGTTTGGGGTATAGGAGCGCAACTTGTTGGCAGGCGCTTTATCACGGATCCGATGGCAGGGAGAGAGCGGAAGCCGACACTCGCCCTTCGAATTGTGAACCCGATACTTCAAGCCGTCCTGACCTCTTCACTGCCAAGTAACTTTGTCTTCGAAGTAGAACACGTGCAGAGTCTGATTCAGCTCCACGGCTTTGTCTACGTTCTTCCGCCATTCCTCGAACCTTCGCAGGCGTCACCAAGACTTCTCCATTGGCGGATGTTGGGTTCGTCGCACATTCCAACATAAACTGTATTACCTGGATACGATTGTGGATGTTGCTAAAAGTCTGAGATAACTTGATTGGAAGTTTCGCTTCAGATTCCCGTCTGTCTGACAAAGAACCCACTTGTTGACAAAGGTTGTGCACGTGTCAAGCTCTGATTGAGCTATGAGCTAAGCAGTTTCCGGTCTGAAGAACACGAACATCACATGAAGTGTCTGTTCCTTCTCTGCTGCCGATGATCTCCCGATGTGCATGTCATATGTTTGCGAAAGAACATTCTTGGAGGCTTGCTTGCTGCTGTCCTCGTCTGTGACCTGTGTCTTCTTGTTCATGCTGACAGCATTAATAATAGTCTCGCTTCTGGATTTCACCGTCAGCACTGATATGATCTTAGTCTGCATCTTCGTCTTACTGACTTGATTCGTTCGTCTTTTGAGAGGTACCCTGTTCACCACAATAACGGTGCAAGCCTGTGCAAGCCGTACAGCAGGCAGCTCAGTTGCAGAGAAACGGCTATTGTGAATCTTGGTCATTCGCTGTTGCTACCTGCAGGACTAGCGCCATGAACGGCTGACGTGAACAACTTGTAAGAGGCATGTACTGCATGATGCGAAGGTACATGTGACTCATACGATTTTCATGATCTAGTGGCCCAAACGCGGACGTCGTATATGTTGACTGCGCAATCTCACTTGTACGTGCTTTGATGCGACTGCCAAGCGCCATATGGCGGAACTGATAAGCCTCGCAATGTACTCAGATTCATGTATGCCATGAAAAACATCACAAGGCTGCCATGCATTATCGTGTTGCAAATCGCCCGCGCTTTCTCTTTCTGTGCTGATGCAGAAGGCGCAGGTGTTCAAAGTATCAGTTTTTTGATGTATGCGATAGATTTTAGCATTGGTGGCCCTTTCCGGCGAGGAACGCCGTAGGCGGAGATAGCCATAGGTGGGCGGCCAGAACGGGCCAAGATTTGGGAGGGGGGTAACTTTCGAGTTTTGTTTGGAACATGAACGTGGTTGGAACATCTGTGGACTAGCTTTTAAAATGCTGTCAAGGGCTGCGTCCAAATCAAAGACACCAGACATACTTATTAGCATTCAACATATAATATGCTTTCGTGGTTGCCTGAAGCAGGTGGTAACTGCATGCAGAAAGCAACGCAGGCAAGCATGTTACTGCTCACGACCCAGATAAAAAGGGCGCTACAAAGGCGACGGCGCTGCAATAAGTCGAGAAGCCACATGCAGCCCCAGGGGGCACGGGCCAAGTTCTTCCTGCAGCTCTTTTCCGCCCGTCGAAAGGCCTTTCCATACTCGAGGTTCCAGTCGAATTCCTCGGACTTCAGTATCCGCATGTCAGAGCATCGCGAGGCCCAGAACGGATGTGCGACTCAGCACTCTACTAGCGCTTGAGGGCTCCGGCTTCGTGGCCTAGAGGCTGGCAAGGCTGAGGACTTACTGCTTATGTTCGAGATGCAGGAGCTGTAGGGCCGGAGCTTTGGACACAATTCGCGCACGGAACTCAGAAAGCCAGCCGAGAAGCCGTTTGATCTGCTGTCTTCATCACGAATTCTTGACCCATTGCTTTTGCATCCTCCCTCTTGAATTCGATCTGTTCACGCGTCATCTGGCAGTGATCCACATCAACAACACTCACGTAGGCGTCTGCTGTCATGTCGCCATACAGCACATGGCACCAGCATCTACCTCTGCGTTTCCAAGTCCAAGAGAACCCGAACGGGATGCTGCCACGAATGCCGCGAGGATCCTACTAGTCCTACCATTTAGTACAAAAGTCAGCATAAATCATTTGGAATAATTTTCGTATAATTTACACTACCAGTAGTATTAATTAATGTGTGTATATATATGTATGTATGT